GAGAAGAGGATACAGAGGGGAAGGCTGCATACAGGAGCCCATATGGCACCAGCCACATCTGCTGAGGAGACCAAAGCCTGTCTTCCCATGGACACAGAGTCCTCAGTTCAGTTCTTTTCTCTCCAAAATCTCATGAGTTAACTCCCGAGACTCTCAGATAGGCTCAGTAAGCTTCAGAGAAACACTGTTTTCTACCAAGCCCCACTGTAACAACTCCCACAGGGTATGGTAAGTAGGTTGTTTTCTTCCCTCTGGCTCAGCTATTGTCTCACAGCAACAACACGAGCACAACGTGCCCAGGTCACGCCAGCTTTTTGCTGAGAACAGTAGCTAATAGGAAGAGGAGGGAGACTTTTTAAATTGAAATGCTCTTGCCTGTTATCAAATTCGGGGGTATCTGGAGAGGCTGGTCTGCATCTGTACTTCAAACAAGAAAGTTAAAGTGAAAGCCACTTTCAGCAATAGCTTTTTCATCTTCTATGTTAAGGTTTATGAGGGATCAAAACAACAAATAAGCAAACAAGCAGGGAAAACCAAACTTCTCCTTGATTACCATGTTGGAACGATGCACAGAGACTCATTCACTTCATATGTGCACAGCACTGTCAGAACACAAGCCCTCCCCATTCCCTATCAGCCTAGACCACTCTTGTTCGCAGCACAGAGCCACAGCCCCTGAAACCCACCCTGCCCAACTGAAGGACCAAGAGCCAGGCTGCAGAACAGCTCTAGAAGCACAAGTGATGAGGATGCCCCAGCAGAGATAAAGGAGAGATGAGCACAGAATCACACAGAATCGCTCGGTTGGAAAAGCCCTCCGAGATCATCACGTCCAACCGTTCCTGTCTACCCACTAAACCATATCCTTAAGTACCTCATCTACCCGCTCTTTAAATACATCCAGGGATGGTGACTCCACCACCTCCCTGGGCAGCCTGTTCCAGCTTCTGACGACCCTCTCAGTAAAGAACTTCCTCCTTATCTCTAACCTGAACCTCCCTTGGCCCAGCTTGGTGCCGTTACCCCTTGTTCTATCCCCCATCACCTGGGAGAAGAGCCCAGCACCCACCTCTCTACAACCTCCCTTGAGGCAGTTGTAGGTGGTGATGTCTCCCCTCAGCCTTCTCTTCTCCAGGCTAAACAAGCCCAGTTCCCTCAGCCGCTCCTCATCAGGCTTGTTCTCCAGAGCCCTCCCCATCCTTGTGGCTCTTCTCTGAACACGCTCCAGAATCTCAACATCCTTCTCATAGTGAGGGGCCCAGAACTGAACACAGCACTCGAGGTGTGGCCTCACCAGTGCCAAGTACATACTCAACTTGGTCTGATGTATTTCTCTGGCTAATACCAAGTTTTATCCAAGTGTTACGACAATCACATGGACATTTTTGTATTTAAATGGTGTCTTTTTCACAATGAATCCCTTGAATGAACTATTATGGACTGAACTGCAGCAGCCTCAGCCATACCTGAATTTGAACTGAACAGAAGCTGTACTGGTTTAGTTCTTTCTTTCAAATAACTTCAATAACACAAGGGCATTATCGGAGTGGGATCTGATTTGCATCTTGGTTCACTGCAAATCAAAATTTTTGGTATTATCTATTAGCAAGACCAAAATGCAAAGCAGCTCTGAATCATGGCCGCTGCTGTCCTCATCTCACCCCTGTCTCCAGGGCGCTGCAGAATCTGCCTCCGGTGTGCGACTGAACACGCAGCGAATGCCTCACGGCACTTTGGCACAGCCCACGGCTTGTCTCGGGAGGAAGCTATGCTAAAGCGAACATGTCAGTCACTTGCTGAGCTGGAAGAAAGAATCCAAGCCCGATTTGAAACCAGGCTTGTACACACATGCACGAGCTGGCCTCGTTTTCCAAGGGGCTTGCAATTCTGAGCATAGGAACAGCGGCAACAGTCAGCAAATACTCATCTTTGGAGTAACTTGGCTATTGCTTAGATTAAAAACAAAAATCTGCAGCCTGTTCTGAGTCAGATGGAAAAGCCAGGGAATCAGATACAGAAGTATCTTAAAGGGAGCTGTGATTCATGCCTGCATCGCATACTGCCTGCAAAATCGTGCCGTAAACCCTCCACAAAGGGACTTGGAGCAGTCTGTCTCATTTCCATCTTTAACAGAGACAGAGAATAGCTCAGAAATTAAGAGAGGCAGGGAGGAAAGCTAACCAGACTGCAACTGCTTCGCAAAAGCAACAGATAGCCCAGGACTCACAATTCAAACCCAGAGAGGAACCTCTTTGCGTTTGCAGTTTGTAGTATATCAGTTAAGAGCTTTTAATGCAGGTCCTTGATAAAGTGGGATTTGAAATTTTCCAGTTTTTTTTCAGGCCGCCTCTGATTTTCTGATTGGTTTGGTTCAGAGATCAAAGTGTCAGGTGAGATAGTTCAGGTTCTGGGAGATACTCTGAGTCAGTTGTTGTGTTATTCACTTTATTTATCCATCTCCTGCATCCTGTAGTCTCACCAGGACAGTGAACCATGCTCTACCTTTCCAGAAAGAAAAGAAACTAAAAAAGCTTCATTATGTTTACATGCTTTTGGTAGGTCTAGGATGGAGAAGCAGATGGTGTGGTACTAGCACATTATGTCATCCTTGGACTTTTCAGAGCAGGAATTCCTAGGAACTGCTACCAGAAACATGGGTTTTCAGACAGGAGAGGCCCATCCACATAATCACTAACTTCTACCATAATTTAATATCACACTACAACATTGAAGCTTCTATCATTAACTTTCTTTTTACCTCCCCACTTCAGGCCATTATTTTCCATGATGCATCACCAAAATCTTTTCTGCACAACTGTGCTGAACAGCTTAACTAACCAGCCTCCTAGAGGCTGGAAATGAGACCACCCCTGTAAGCATCCAACATTTTACTTTCTCTGAGCAGCCAACACACTAAGCAATATTCCATTTATCACCCTAGTACGGACTGGTTATTCCACTCCACCACATCCGTCCGCTGAACAGACACAAACTCATCCTTTCTTTTGATCTATATGAACATACAGAAAAGAAATCCACCGGGAGTTGCTAAATAAATCTGGTTTCAGCAAACAGTTGCAAAGTGAGTACTCAGTGTCGTAGATCCTTGCCATGCTCTTTACGAGGTATCACACACCATCATCATCTGA